ATCTCGGGACCGCTCACGTCGTTCAAGAAGAACGATCTCTCTCAGTCGACAATGATTCCCGCTCATTGCGCTCGCAATAGCATTTCAGCTTATCACATTGTCAGCTCTCCCTCTCTCGAAGAGGAACTTTGCCGTTTTTGGGAGGTCGAAGAAATCCCACGACAATCATCTCTCACATTGCAAGAAAAACAGTGTGAAAAGCACTTTTGCTCAACTCACTCTCGCGACTCCGATGGACAGTATATCGTGCGTCTTCCGTTCAAAACGAGTCCTCCGATCGATATCGGTAATTCAAGGTTTCGCGCCGAAAAACTGTTAAATTCATTAGTACGGAGTGTTATAGCCCGAACAGGCTATACACGAAATATTAAATATATTATTCTAAATACATATTATTTGATATGACTGCTCAACGTGTAACGCGAATACAGATCACGTTACGAACGTTGACCGAGCGAAGCGCTGACAACGCGAGCCACGCGCGAAGCCCGAGCGACCGCGCAATCACTCATTACGAAAACGCGGAAATCAAGGCAAGCGGAATTAATGCGTTGCGAAAATGCAACGTAGAGATCCTACCTAAAAGCGAAAAGGAAATTGCGAAAAAGCAAGCAAAGAAGTCCCTTAGAACTCCTTAACTTGCATCCGGATCTTGCCGCCAAAATCGAGCAACACGACACATGGTCTTGTCGCTAAACGATCCCCTCCTGGGAAACCAAGGGAAGATAATAAAAAGACCCATCGCTAACGAACCACTGACGTGCACCGCGACGGTAGAGCACGAGATAAACACGCGCGCTGATACCTCGCCGGTGAACACGAGACCGTATCGTCTTCCCGATAAGCACAAGACGGAAGTAAATAAACAAGTGCAAGAAATGCTGAAAAATGGCATAATCCGAACAAGCGCGAGTCAATGGAACGCACCCTTATTAGTGGTACCGAAAAAGGCCGACGCATCCGGAAAACCTAAGCTCCGAGTAGTAGTAGACTTTCGGAAGCTAAACGATTTAACAATAGGCGATTCATTTCCACTGCCCAATATCACCGAGATACTGGACCAGTTAGGAAACGCTAAATATTTTACCACACTAGACTTAGCGTCAGGATATCATCAGATACCGATGGCTGAGCAAGATAAACAAAAGACAGCTTTTTCAACGCCCTACGGACACTACGAATTTAATAGAATGCCGTTTGGATTGAAAAATGCGCCAGCAACATTCCAGAGACTAATGAATTCAATTCTAACCGGAATGCAAGGACTTAAATGTCTAGTTTATTTAGACGACATCGTCATATATGGAGCGAGCCTAGAGGACCACAATAAAAGACTCAAGGAAGTACTGCAGAGACTCCGAGAAAATAATCTAAAATTGCAACCAGATAAATGCGAATTTTTGCGCAAGGAAGTAATTTATCTAGGTCACATAATTTCGGAGAATGGAATATCTCCGGATCCGTCAAAGTTAACGGCAATAAAGGAATTTCCGACGTCGAAGAATGTAAAAGATATACAATCTTTCATAGGACTAGCCGGATATTACAGAAAATTCATAGAAGATTTTTCAAAAATGGCCAAGTCACTGACGAAATTAACGAAGAAAACTGAAAAATTCGAGTGGACTATGGAACAGCAAAATGCTTTCGAAATACTAAAAGAAAGATTAATGACAGCGCCAGTGCTAATGTATCCAGATTTCAATCAAGAATTCATAGTGACCACTGATGCTTCCGACTATGCAATCGGAGCAGTATTGTCACAAGGAAAAGTAGGTAACGACCGGCCAATTGCTTACGCCAGCAGAGTTTTATCGCGGGCGGAGCAGAATTACAACACAACCGAGAAAGAATTATTAGCGATTGTATGGGCTGTAAAACATTTTAGGCCATACGTATACGGTACGAAATTTAAAATAATAACCGACCATAAACCATTAATCTGGTTATTTAATGTGAACGATCCCGGATCGAGATTGATCCGATGGAGATTAAAACTCGAAGAATATGATTATGAAATCATCCATAAAGCCGGACGAGCGAACGCGAACGCCGATGCACTGAGCCGCAATGTAACAAGACAAGCGCATGAAACAGAAGAGGAAGAACGAGAGATCCTCGCAATAGAAGAAGAAACAAACTCCGACGAAGAAAAAATATACACGGAGGAAGACAAGAAACAGATATTATATGAATATCATGATGCACCCACAGGAGGACATCAAGGAGTTGAACGAACGATAAAAAGAATCCGCCTAAACTATAATTGGCCAGGAATAACGAAAGATGTAGAAAAATACATTGCAAAATGCGAATTGAATTGTGCCAATAAACTAGCGCGAAAAAATAAAGTACCGTTAATAATCACGGATACGCCTACTAAACCTTTCGAAAAATGCGCGTTAGATTAGATAGGACCGCTAACAGTTACAACAAACGGAAATAAATATCTTTTAACATTCCAAGACAACTTAACGAAATTCAGCAAAGCGATACCGATTCCAAACCAAGAAGCGAACACGGTCAGTAAAGAATTCGTTACAAAGATTGTACTTGAACACGGAATACCGGAAAAAATTTTAACGGATCAAGGCACAAATTTCCTCAGCGAAATATTTAAAAATACATGTAAACTATTAAAAATAAATAAAATACAAACAACTGCCTATCATCCGGAAAGTAATGGCGCGTTAGAACGATCGCATCGAACATTAGCGGAATATTTAAGACACTACATAAACGAAGACCAGACCGACTGGGACGAATGGATACCGTTCGCAATGTTCACATACAATACGACGCCACACACAGCTACGGGGTATACACCCTTCGAATTAGTCTATGGGCACCAAGCAGATTTACCTACGTCACTGACGAGACCGCCTAAACCGACATATAATTACGACGATTACGCGCAAGAATTGAAAGAAAGACTAAGGGCAACGAATCAGCTCGCAAAAGAGCATATCAAAGAAGAAAAATTTAAAGCCAAAAAACAGTACGACAAAAGTACTAGAGAAATAAAATTTAAAGTCGGCGACAAGGTATTAGTACATGACGAGACGCTCCGACGCGGACGATCTAAGAAACTTGAACCCCTATGGACCGGACCATACGTAAAAATAGAAAAAAATTCAGACGTGAACTACACGATAAAAAAGGGGAGGAAAGCAGTTCGCATGCACATAAACAAATTAAAACCATTTATAGAAAATTAAAATAAAAAATTTAACCAATTCATTGTTTGAACGACCGAGAAATCGCATCCGCTCCAAAGTGCGACGGACAAAACGTACATAGAAAAATAATAAAAAACACGGGCAAAATTGCAATACGAGGAAACTGTAAATTAACAACCTCAGACATGACAATACAAACGAAAGAAACTGTCTACGAGACAGATATAGAAACTTACTTACCCGAAATCAAATCACACTTCAAAATAAATGTAAATTAATAACAACGGAAATGACGATCCAACCAAAGGAAGTCATACAAGGCAACGAACTAGAAACGTATTTACCGGAAATTAATACTACATTTATACGAGACAATACAGACGTACTAGACACGAAACAACAAAACATCGTACAGCATTTAGGATTACCAGAATTAAAAAATAAAAAGAAACATACGAAACGACCGTCAGTCAGGATATACGAAGAAGACGAACCACGTATGTCCTACGGATTCCCAAAACCCATATTAAAACGTAGTTTAAGTACACGATTTTAGATAAGTATAGGAATAATAAGAAACGATTATACCTCATATTGTATACGGGAAAAATGTTGTACATTAGAATAAGAAAAAATAATTTTGTTTGTTTTGCGAAAAACGTCACTTTTACACCTCCGTTTTTCTTTTTTTTACGGGGGAGGGATGTTATAGCCCGAAAAGGCTATACACGAATTAATAGATATATAGTATTTTAGAGATATTATTTTATACGATAAGATATTGCTCAACGTGTAACGCGAATACAGATCACGTTACGAACGTTGACCGAGCGAAGCGCTGACAACGCGAGCCACGCACGAAGCCCGAGCGACCGCGCAATCACTCATTACGAAAACGCGGAAATCAAGACAAGCGGAATAAGGGCGTTGCGAAAATGCAACGTAGAGATCCTACCTAAAAGCGAAAAGGAAATTGCGAAAATGCAAGCAAAGAAGTCCCTTAGAACTCCTTAGCTTGCATCCGGATCTGGCCGCCAAAATCGAGCGACACGACACATGGTCTTGTCGCTAACCGATCCCCTCCTGGGAAACCAAGGGGAGACAATAAAAAGACCCATCGCTAACGATCGGCGGGCAGTCTTTATCATCAATCAATATTACGCGGGCAGCCAATAACGCTTTACGGGAAACTATTAAATTAACGCCACGCAGTCGGCAGAAATAAATACATAAGATCGAGAAGTGAGTTTCGCGACCGAAACTCAACTCCAGACACGCGCACGCCAAGATATCCGATATCGCGATACGCGACGCGAGAGACGTGCGAAGACTTTGTAATTAAACCAAGTACGAATAAAATAGTTATATATACATTTATTCAGAATACGAAAGTGTCATTTTTAATTATAATAAATTCAGTGAACTACTCGGGCGGAGCCCGAATTCCCAAATTCCTTCCGGCAAACGATCCTAACTACCGTGCCTCTCCGGAGGCATAACAGGAGATTTCGCGACAAACCCGAGGTAGCGAAGGAATATTCCGATTTTATATCCGAATATCAACGCCTTAGGCATATGCGGCCAGTGCCGATGCCTCAAGGTGACATCGAACAAACCGTATACCTCCCGCATCACGGGGTGCTCCGGGAAAGCAGCTCCACCACGCGTCTTCGCATCGTCTTCAACGCTTCGAGCGTTACTTCTAACGGCACATAACTAAACGAGTATTTACACGCCGGTCCAAAATTACAAACCGATCTCATGTCGGTAATATTACAGTGGCGACGACTTAAATATGTGTATTCGTCCGACATCGCGAAAATGTATCGCCAAATTCTCATCGATCTTCGCGATATAAGTTATCAGCGGATTCTATGGAAAGCAACGCCTTCGGAACCGTTAACCAATTATCAATTATTAACAGTCACGTACGGAATGTCATGTGCTTCGTTCCTGTTACTTCGAGTTTTAAAACAATTAGTGATCGACGAAGATCAGCACTTTCCACTCGCGGTTCCGATCTTACGCGATAATATCTATGTCGACGATGTGCTCTTCGGAGTCGACGATCCGATTCTTATTCGGCAAGCTCGGGATCAACTAAATTCTTTATTGAAACGCGGCGGATTCGTGCTAAGAAAATGGAGCAATTCACCTGCCCTCCTCGCCGACATCGACATAACAGATCACGGTTTAGCCACTAAAAAACTTCTCGTTGAAGACGAACAAATCAAAATCCTCGGAATCGGGTGGAATCCGGCAAACGATATTTTCGAGTTTCGCGTGTCGCTGGTTGATAATGCCCCGGAAACCAAGCGTACGATCTTATCCGCGATTGCTAAATTCTATGACCTGCTAGGTTGGGTCACTCCGGTCACTATCACAGCGAAAATATTCATGCAACAGCTCTGGCAAACGAAAATAGATTGGGACGATACTATTTCCGAAATTCTCTTCACAAAATGGAACGAAATCTATTCCCGGATTTTGCATTTAAGCCAGTTGCGGATATCTCGCTGGAGTGATCTCGGATTGGAAAATAATCACGCGGAAATCCACGGATTCGCCGACGCGTCAATCCACGCTTCCGCCGCAGCCGTTTATCTTAAGGGGATCCTAAACCGACGGGCGAACTCCGACGGGTTAGCGCCCTCATCTAAACGTAACTAAAAGAGTCGACAATACCGACATTTTTAGTTCCGCCATTACCAACATAATTATTTCAAACATGCATAATAGAAAACGCAATCTTTTGCATTGTGTTCCATATTTTTACTGCTTTATATACAATAATTACTTGATAAATTACCAAACTTTAATTCATGCGTGAGAGAGTAATATACATGTACGTACTAACATTATCGCAATTTCTAATATCTTCTTTCTCTCGATCATACGCTTACTCTGTTTCTCTCTGTATCTCTCTTTCTAATCGCTCGCTTACTACGTACTGCATATCGCTTAGCTTTATTCTTCTAGCATATTCGCTTACGCGTTTATTCTCTCTCTCTCTCTCTCTCTCTCTCTCTCTCTCTCTCTCTCTCTCTCTCTCTCTCTCTCTCTCTCTCTCTCTCTCTCTCTCTCTCTCTCTCTCTCTCTCTCTCTCTCTCTCTCTCTCTCTCTCTCTCTCTCTCTCTCTCTCTCTCTCTCTCTCTCTCTCTCTCTCTCTCTCTCTCTCTCTCTCTCTCTCTCTCTCTCTCTCTCTCTCTCTCTCTCTCTCTCTCTCTCTCTCTCTCTCTCTCTCTCTCTCTCTCTCTCTCTCTCTCTCTCTCTCTCTCTCTCTCTCTCTCTCTCTCTCTCTCTCTCTCTCTCTCTCTCTCTCTCTCTCTCTCTCTCTCTCTCTCTCTCTCTCTCTCTCTCTCTCTCTCTCTCTCTCTCTCTCTCTCTCTCTCTCTCTCTCTCTCTCTCTCTCTCTCTCTCTCTCTCTCTCTCTCTCTCTCTCTCTCTCTCTCTCTCTCTCTCTCTCTCTCTCTCTCTCTCTCTCTCTCTCTCTCTCTCTCTCTCTCTCTCTCTCTCTCTCTCTCTCTCTCTCTCTCTCTCTCTCTCTCTCTCTCTCTCTCTCTCTCTCTCTCTCTCTCTCTCTCTCTCTCTCTCTCTCTCTCTCTCTCTCTCTCTCTCTCTCTCTCTCTCTCTCTCTCTCTCTCTCTCTCTCTCTCTCTCTCTCTCTCTCTCTCTCTCTCTCTCTCTCTCTCTCTCTCTCTCTCTCTCTCTCTCTCTCTCTCTCTCTCTCTCTCTCTCTCTCTCTCTCTCTCTCTCTCTCTCTCTCTCTCTCTCTCTCTCTCTCTCTCTCTCTCTCTTTCTCTCTCTCTCTCTCTCTCTCTCTCTCTTTCTCTCTCTCTCTCTCTCTCTCTCTCTCTTTCTCTCTCTCTCTCTCTCTCTCTCTCTCTTTCTCTCTCTCTCTCTCTCTCTCTCTCTCTTTCTCTCTCTCTCTCTCTCTCTCTCTCTCTCTCTCTCTCCCTCCCTCTCTTTCTCTCTCTCTCCCTCCCTCTCTCTTCCACATTTTTCTCTCTCTGAGTGGAGAAGACGTGTCAAACATCGCTCCGCAAAAGTAATAACTTTTAAACGGTTAAATAGTTACGGGGAGTGATAGAAAGTTATTCAAGTCATAGCGGCATAGACCGGCATTAGCCATGAGTGTTATCTAGCCGGGATATGCTGATTTGTGGGCGTGAGAAGTGCATTTCCTGTCTGGGACACCAAAGTCTCACACGACAGGTAGACATTAAAGGTGGACACAAAAGTGCTGACGTGTGACAGTGGAACAGAGGTGACTGATCGCTTACGCTGATATTAGCGGTTTCGGCCCATAATTATCGGCATGGGCGATGAATGTGCTGAATATCGATGCTCGGCATGTAAAAAGACAATAAAAAATCAGGTGGTGACATGCAAGTCTTGCTATCAGGTTAATCGTATTAAGTTGTTTTACCATCCAGGATGTGTGAGCAAGCATAGGATTTACGATAAAAATCAAGAATTGGTACCGTGTTCTGGCCCATTTGACAGATTTACAATTGAAAATGAAGCAGATATGAAGAAGACATCGGCAGTGGCCGGGGGCGGCAGGGACAGGCTAGGATCTACAGGATCTACAGGTTCATTTACGACGCCAAGGAGGGGGGGATTTAAGGCGGGAGGAGGCACGAACCAAGCATCCATCTCTGCCGTGGCAGCGGCACTGTCGTGTCTGTGTAGGGCGTTTATACACTTCCTCAGCCCGACAAATAACTGTTAGAAAACAACATTTGCGGGTCTGAAAAAATATGCGAGGTACGAGTGGCTGAATCGGGAATCGAACCCGAGTCTTTCGCTTTCCGGGCAACTGGATGTGTAAACAAGCATAGGATTTACGATAGAAATCAAGAATTAGCATCGTGTTCTGGCCCATTTGACAGATTTACAATTGAAAGTGAAGCAGATATGAAGAAGGCATCGGCAGTGGCCGGGGGCGGCAGGGACAGGCTAGGATCTACAGGATCTATAGGTTCGTTTACGACGCCAAGTAGTGGAAATAGAATATCAGGAGCGAGTGGATCATCGACTATTGACGTAAAAATAGATTGGCTTATAAAAATAGTGAAGGAAATAAAAGATGAAACAGCATGTAAGAAGGAAATTAAAATGATGGTCAAGGAAATAGTTCGAGAAGAATTGGGAAATGTTAAGCAGGAACTGCTAGAAGAGTTGAAAAGAATGATACAGGGAGAAGTATGTGGATCAACAGGAGGAATACAAAGGAGCTATAGTGAAGCGGTTAAAGAGAAAAAGAAAGAGAATGTTATAATTATCAAACCCAAGATTCAACAAGAGAGTGAAGTTACAAAAAAATTGATAAAAGAAAAGGTAGATATCAAAAACATGGCGATGGGAATAACGAAGCTTAAAAAAGGAAGCAAGGGAACAGTGATCATGGGTTGTAAAACTGGAAAAGAAATTAAAACGTTGAAAGCCACAGTGCAGGACAAACTAGGAGAAAATTTCAAAGTTACGGAATCACCGCAGATGAAGCCAAAAATAAAAATTATCAATGTCAGCGAAGAAGAAATGAGATTGGATGATGATGACTTAATAACTACAATCAAGAAGCAGAATAGAATTGATGCAATAAATGATGGATTCCAAATGCGAATAGTGAAGAAAATAGTTAAAGAAAAAAGAAATGATAATAATCAACTTAGAAGAAGAGAAAAAGAAGAAGGTTCGATAATAATTGAAGTAGATGAAGAAACGCATGAATTGATGTTGAAAAAGGAGAAACTAAATGTAGGATGGAGAAAATGTCCTATATTCAATCACATTAATGTTAAAAGATGCTTTAAATGCTGGGGATACTATCATATTGCAAAAAATTGTACGCGAGATGAAACATGCCACAAATGTGCGGGAAATCATAAAGCGATTGAATGTACGGCAACAAAGAAAAAATGTGTAAATTGTATGTTTAAAATTCGAACATACAACCTGAAGATAAGTGATGAACACGACGCCCTTAGCCCAGAATGTCCAACATTTAAAAGGGCGATACAAGAGGAGAAGAGGAGAGCCGGCTGGGAAGATGCGAAATAGCAACTACAGAAGGAAGCGGAAATAATATTGTATACAAACGCGCAAAGTTTGATGGCGCATAAAGATGAGATACAACATCAGATTATGAAGAAAGTAAATCCGCCGTCATCATCAAATTCATAGCGTTATCAGAGACAAGATTGACTGCTGAAATTGAAGACAGTGAAGTGAACGTACCAGGTTATAATATAATTAGATGCGATGCTGAAAATAGAAATACAGGAGGGATTGTTTTATATATAAGGGATGATGTTAAATATGAAATAGTATTAGTAAAAAAATTAGAATCGAATTGTTGGTGTGCTGCGATTGAGGTGAAAGAAAAATTGTATAGAGGAATAATAATGGTAATATATCATTCACCGAGTGCATCGCATGGTGATTTCGTGAGATTTCTGGAGGATATAATAGAAGAGTTAATAATACGGGGAGAATGTATGATAATAGGAAACTTTAATATAGATATTATGTTAGATTCGTTTTATACAAGGAAGTTACAAACGACAATGTTGAGCTTAGGCATGAAACAATATGTAAATAAACCGACGAGAATTACGAAAGATAGTAAAACAATTATAGATTTAATTTTTGCTAATAATAAAATAGAAATGCAGGTAATGCATGAACCTAAAATAACGGACCATGCGTGGCTAAAAGTTGAACTGAATGCGAATAAATTTGATAATAAATACAGAGAACTTAGTGGTAGGAAATATAGAGAGTTTAATATAGCTGAATTTATTAAATTAGAGGAAAATAAATTAGAGAAAAACCAAGATATGAATATCAGTGTGAGAGCGAAGAAATTTGTTGATAGTATAGTAAATGCGTTGGACGCCACAGCACCTAGAAAAAATTTTAAAATTCCGAGAATATGGGAAGGGAAAAAGTGGTTTTCGGATGAAATAAGAGAAGCAGCGGCTAAAAGGGATGAGGCATATAGGAAGGCATTGTATGCTGACACGGAACAAAATTGGTTGCAATTTAAAATTGAAAGAAATACAGTAGTTAAATTAATTAAGACAAAGAAGAAAGAATATTATGAAAATATGATAGATATTAATAAAGAAAATCCTACATCTATGTGGAAAACACTAAAAGAAATAATTAGAGGCGAACCAGAGGGTAAGAGGGAAGTAGAGAATATAGATTTTGAAATATTAGACAGCACTGAAGGATTCAATATAGCAGATAAATTTAATTTATATTATATACAAAGTATTAATAGTATAGTAAAATCTATAAATGGGAGTAAAACTGGGAATGCATGTAAAAGAATTATTTATGTTATTGAAAACGAGGGAATTATGAAAAATTTTGAAATGATTAGTATAGAGCATTTACAGGAAATTGTTATGGGACTACCAAAAAAGAAAGGTACACAGGAGGGAATAACTAGCGATATATTAAAGGCAGTATTTTGCGTAATAAAAGAGGAATTTGTTGATATAATAAATAATTCTTTGAAGGAAGGTTGCTGTCCAAAAGGTTGGAAAACGTCTACAATAATACCGATTCCAAAAGTAGAGAAAGCTAGAAAAGCAAGTGAATTTAGGCCTATAAATATGTTACCAATATTTGAAAAAGTGTTATAATTAGTAGTT